GAGGCCCCTGGGGCCGGCCGCGCCCTCTCAATTTTGCAAATTGTTTCATCATCATCATTAGCGGGTATTTACTGCGCCCTTCTGTGTGCCAGCTGGCGCGCGCTTCCCCAGGCCGTTCGCGCCGGGACCTGCAGGACGGCCCTCGCTGAGGGCCACGGGCCAGGGGTGGACCCCGGGAAGGAAGGGCCTCAGCCAGGAGCCCAAGCACAGGTGGCAGGCCGCTGCCCCAGCGCGCCCAGCTCTGGGTCTCCCGCTGTGTGCACCGAGTGCACCTGTCCAGATTGCACCTGTCCCGCGCTCACCGATGCAGAGCATTGGTCCAGGACCACCTGTCCGCAGACCCTGAGCCCCCACAGCCTCCAGGTGGATGCATCAGCTGTAGTGGCCGCCCGGCCGCGGTCCGAGCGAGCGCACCGTGGGTCTCGAGGGCACCTGGCGGTGTTCTGGCCCCCACAGGGGGCAAGGGACAGGGCAGGCCTCGGCCCTGGGAGGCAAGCCGGTGGACGCCGGCATTCTCCACGGAGCTGTCGAGGGTCAGGGTCACGGTGGGGGTCCTGGTGTCCCATCATGGGGCCTCTCGTGCCCACAGAGAGCCTCCCGCTCTCTGTGGGTGGGGACGGGAGGGGCCGCCTCCCGCCTGCCCGTGCCCTTGAAAGTGGGGGCTGCTGTGTTCATGGGGGTGCCAAGGCGTGGTCCCTGAGAAGCAGGGTTCGGACTTGGGGTGGCCCCAGCCGTCTGGTCCCTCTGGATCCCTCAAGCTCCCAGCCCCTCCCCCCCAGCGAGGGGCCGGTGCTGGACCCAGCAGCTGGAGGGAAAGCCGCTCCCTGGCCTCCACCCCCACCCGCTATTGTTGAAGGAAGCAGCCGCCTCATTAGCGGCATAATCAACACCCCGCCTTTCCGCTGGGGCCGCCACAGCCTGTCAACAGGTGTCGCCCTGGCACCGGCCCCGGGGGCTGCTGCAGCTGGTGCAATTAGCAGCTAATGAGGAGCCTGCCAGACCCACTCCTGGGGGAGCCAGAAGGGGTGGGAGGAGGCTCTGGCCCTGCCCACCTGTGCTGCGGAGGCCGAAAGGGCTGAGGAGCCTCACCCTGCGGGGTGACGCCCAGTTCCTAGAGGTCCCCTGCACCACACTCCTGTCCAGTGCTCGCCTGCCCAGCACTCACCTTTCCACACCACACCTATCCAGTGCTCACGTGTCCAGCGCTCACCTGTCCAGCCCTCACCTGTCCAGTGCGCACCTGTCCAATGCGCACCTGTCCAGCACTGACCTGCCCAGAGTTCACTTGTCCAATGCTCACCTGTCAACGTACACCTGTCTAGAGCTCCTCTGTCCAGACCATACCTGTCCAGTGCTCACCTGTCTGAGGCACACTGTTGGCCTCGCCCCCAGCTGTGCTAGGCCCAAGCAGAGGACCCAGGAGCCCCGTGGGCACCGTGGGCTGGCTGGAGGCACCCTCCTGTCCCGAGCCAGCTGCTGAGGCCGGGGCTCGGGCCAGGCGCCAGTGGGGGCCTGTGCGCGGGGCTGTGCAGGGCACTCGGCCCCGAGCCTGGGAGGCCTCACACCCGGCGAGGCGGGGCGGCTGGTGGGCGCCCACATGCTTACCCCGGTCTGGGCGGGCGCTGGGGGCCACCCCTCTGCCCATGCTGGGAGCCGCAGCCAGCGGCCCATCTCGGCTGCGGGCCCCCCAGGCCTGGCAGAGTGCCGGCCGACTGAAGCCCACGTGCGCGGTCCAGGGCCCCCGTGCGGCCTGCGGGGGTCATGCTGGAGCGCCCCGGCGCCTCAGCGGGTGCGGCCTCAGGTTGGGGTGTCAGGGCCTTGAGTCACCTGGCAGGCAGCACCCTGCTCCGGGGTCGGGGGCCAGGCCCTCACCTCGGGCCTTGCCCAGACCCTCCAGACACAAGGGACCGGCCCTGGCGGGCTCCCCCAGACGCCCC